TTGTTGTGTAATAATTGAGATTGTATCTTCACCACTCTTTTTCTGAAAAAAAAAAAGATTCTTTTCTGGTGTAAATTTAGTTTATATAAATAATACTAAACATCGAGGCAATGGAGTTCACACATCCTGTAAAAAAGGAACATGTTTAACAGTCCCCAGTATATGGCTGTCACTGTACTGGGAACTTTATACATATATTGATTGTCTCATTAAAAAAATCAAAGCAAGCCAGAAAAGTAAAACACTTTCAAATGTCCTGAAACTCAGGGCTTTCATCCAGGTCATCTCTATATCCTTCCGACCTCTGACATTTCCAATACTGGCTTCCCAAACCACTGAAGCCATGCGGATAGCCTGGTTCCTGACATATCCCAACCTGGGCATCGCGAAGGTGTTTGTTACCTGCTGCCTTGTTTAGAGGACTGTTGGCTCAGGTTTGAACAGTGGAATTATCAGTAACGCAAGAAATATAGGTTGATTTGAATACGAAAATAAAGGACTTACAGTCTTTAAAAACGTTCATCCTGAAATAAGCAAGCCTTCAAGGATAAGTGAGGACATGGGGAAAATTCCCAAGGTACCTGGGGTTCAGAATGCAAAGAAAGTCCTGTGGTTCTAGGTGCCTCGGAAACAGATTCATCGGGAACAAAGAGCAGCTATGCAGCATCTTTTGGGAGAGGCCTAGCTGTGCTTGGCAGCACTGTCCAAAGTTCAGTCGACCTCTTAGAGCACTGGAAAAATGTCTTCTCCTGCCCCAGAAGAATGTGACCAGCAGATCCCCACAGGCAGTCACACCTTTCTCTTGAAACAGATGCTGTGTCTCGGCCTGCACCATATGCCTCTGTTAGCCAACACGATGAAACAGAAGTAGCTCAGCATCTCATCTCAACTCAAGGAGAGAGTTAGAGAGGAAGAGAAGGTTGTTTTTTTTCAAGAACCTTCCCAGATACTCTAGAACTTCCTTTTTGTACAGATTCTCTGGAGCTATAAAGTCCAAAGCATTGGACCCAAACTCGAAAGTCCCCATTCAAACCACTCAGTCCTCCCTGGGCTGATGGGGGGTTATTACTGTTTTGACGCAGACTTTTTTTTCTCTCATTTACTCCATGTCCAGTCTCCCAATGATTCCAGCTGAGATGCATTCCCATCTGTATAGAGTTGTCTTCACTGATGCAATCAGATCCTTGCCACTCTTGGTAGGTATAGTCAGAAGGGACCTCTGATATTTGAGGCCACTAGATTTCTAGCTTTTTGATGGCACGAACTGTGGTTTTCTTAACTCTGAATTTCCAATGCATTGCACAGTGCCTAGCAGACACCTTAATAAATCTTATAAATGAATAAATGAATACGTGTTTTTATGACACTGTCATTAGAGTGGCATTGAATTATGAGAATGGTCTTTGCAAATTATGAGTAGATCCTGTTTACATTAGGATGTTCTACAAGTAATTATTCCCTTAGCTTACAATGTCCAGGAACTGACTTGCACAAAAGAGGCAAGGCATAATGCATACTTGTTAATTAATTAGCTAATTTTGGACTACACTGTACCTTGGGGTTTTCTAGATCTGTTTTTATGAAAACTAGAGCTTCATAAGTCTAAGCTCTCAGTTCCCAGAAAAAGTATAGTGTATAGAACTTTCTTAATTCGATGTTTTTTTTTTTCTTTTTCTCTTACAATTTATTTTTCTTAAACTTTTTGTGTTCGCTTGCACGCTGGTATTTAACTATCAGAACTCACACTTGATCTCAAGTACTTTCTTGTCAGCCTAGTAGGGTCACCTTTCACCTAATATTTGGAAAGCAGATATATCTTGTTCATCTTGATCCTGCCAAAACATGATCTCTTAAAAATTTCATATATCATATTGGGACACACAGGGACCGAATACATATAATGGGATCATAGTGTCAGTTGGGAAAATCATGCTTAGTTTTTATGATGAAATTGATTTGTCCCAATTTCTTGGGATTCCACCAAAACGGCCAGTTCCTGGGCAAGTTTCCTGTTATATCTGAAGAATTATAATCTTGGGCCACGTTATTAGCTGGTTCTTTTGGATTATCCCATAACGTGGTTCTTTCGTTTGACAAAAAAGATCTTTGTGGAAGCACACGGTTTCTCCCCATAACTCATGCTCAGTCCCAGACCTTGAATTTCTGCTTCATCAGGGCCAGCCATGTTGATGACATTGTCTGTAGGCAGGTGTGGTTTGCTTTTCTGAAATGCATTTTTCCTTTTTATGGGGAATAGCAAAGCAAAATATTTCAGATCATGTTTTCTCTTTCCTTTTGTGTTTTCTTAGATGAGGAAGAATGGCTTTTAAGAGTCTTATCATTCATTCTTTCATGAAAAATATATTTTGCTTTTGCACCGACAATGACAACTTACTAGATATTGGAGACATGTAACGCGAACCCGATCCCTGTTATCATGGCCTTATGATCCATCGGAGAAGCTAGATGACCCCTGTATGGTTTAGGAAATAATACAGCCTCCAATCTATTGTAGATTATTAAAAGGACCCAAGGCAGTCCTCTAACTTTGGATCCATGGTAACTATTTTTAGCTTGAGGATGAGAAAGTCTCACTCTTCCAGCTGAGAACGCCACTGAGTTGTTGGCAAACGCTTCTACTAAGACGCTGAGGCCAGTAGGTTCTGTAAGAAGATTAACAGGTTAAAAAAATAATTGGTTCATACGTGGAGTTTGTTTCCCGTTTTTTTGTGTTTTTGTTTCAGATAACCCATGTACATAAAGAAGAACATAGCAACATGTTAGATGGCAGGTGGCTCCATCATTTTTGGTGAAAGATTCCAGGAAGGTCAGAATCAAGCCCCATGCTCTAGGGCAGGGGCACGGGGATTCTTAGGTCATCGACTCCAATGGCACTTTTGGGCACATTGAAGGGAGCTAAGAGGAGGACAAAGGAGCCATGCCCTCTGTCCTTCAGATTGCTGGAAGGTCAAGTGGCGAACCATAGGGGAGGGGTTTCACGTCTGCGGTCATTCTTGTGTATTTCCAATCTCATACTTTAAGGTCAACACCCATCCATGTGTGGGACTTTCCATCTAAAACTTCCTTTCTAACTCTCACAATGCCTGCCCTGGCCAGGGATTCCGGCTTTTGGTTGCAAATTCCTAAAGTCAGGGACCGACCCTTCTTTGTTACTGTATTCTCAGCCTTTTGTCCAGAACCCACTGACATGTGGGTTTCAAAGGATCAAAAGTCCGAGAGAGTAGTCCCTCTGTCCAACATAGGGCAAGGCCACTGCGTCAGGTCACAGTGAAACCATCGACTGGATGTCTGCCACAGCTAGGACAGCTCTCGACAAGACTGCGAGGGAGAACGTCAGTGATACTTGCGTGTAGACATTTGTTCAGGCCATTTTGAGCATCTTGATGGTCACCAGCGTGACCATCCACAACCAGTGCTTAGATGTGTGAAAAGGATGAGATGCTAGCTAATACTGTGGAATAGTCAGTTAACTAATTCAGCCCAAACCAAACAGAAACCTTTTCCATCAAATTATTTCAGAGTAGCAGAATCTCACAAGAGGCCACAGCTTATTAAGCTTGTGCTTAATAGCAATACTTATATAGCTGGGCGGTGTTCTCCAGGCTGGTGCTTATACTTCATTTAGTCTTATGGTTACATGTGATTTACAAAATCTGGAGGAGTAATAATGGATGGTTCTGGAAGTTTTGCCCACTTGCAGATTAAAAAATGCTGTAGCTTACTTGTATTATTATTATTTTTTTTCCTGGAACCCAAATGCAATGCATCAGTAAGCATATTTTGCAATAAAAGCAGACATCCGCCTCCTGCTGGATAAACTGTGTCATAGAGCTCTCCACATGACACAGAGTATAGGCATCTTGGCACAATTTCTGGGTCCCACTGTGTAAAGGGCAGAGCGGTGCTGTCAGCGGAGACCACGTAATGGAGTGAGTCAGCTGACTGGGCTTTGAATGCCAGCTGTCTGAGGGACAATGACATGACCTTGGGCCCGTCTCTTTAACTGAGCCAAAGGTTTCTCATTTTTACAAAGAAGGATGTGGACCAGATCATTTCTGTGCCTTCTTGACTATAATTTCTATTTGAGACGGGTATTCCGTACAAGTTCATGGGGAGGACTGTGAGTTGGAACTTCATTTCGAAGGCACTGAACTTAGCTGCTGCCCAGAGGGACACCCCACTTCTGATAAATGTCACAATCTCGGGCTACACAAACTGGGAACTATTTTAACTTGTGTATGTGTGTGTTTTCTTCCTGCCAATTCATAACTCGTCTAGAATGCTACGCTTGGAACTACCATCACTTTCAACAAATGGGAAAACCGAGGCATGATACCAGACAATGGCAGACCAGATGAGGTCTCTTTAAGAGCTTTTCGAAGGTTCTGTCAGTTTTTTCTAATCATTTTTTTTTTTAATTCTTGGTTTTAGAGATATGATGACTATCTCATTTCTTCTCTGACATTTTAGCTCAGAAGGCGACCTCATTGGTATGCAAGGTGTTTTTGTCGAGAAAATTATTTGCTTGCTTCAGAAAGCAATTAATCAATCACTGGACTGTTTTACAGAAAGGGGCGGTGATCCGAGAAATAAACACTACTTTCCCTGCTTACCAAACTAAAATCCAAACCAACCAACCAAACAGATAAACAGCACAGCTCGTCAATAATTTCTCCCTGTACTGGTCCAATCATGATTAAAAGGAAGAATAGCAGATAAATGTGTATCCTAGAAGAGATTAGCAGTACCATTTATATAGTGTAAAGTCATGCAAACCATGCTTAAAAGGAAGCAGCTTCGTTGTGGTGACATGGGGAGGAAAAGGCCATGACAAGCCCCTGCCTGGCTGGGGGGCCACCACGCACATGCATGCATTTGATGCAGCCACTGGTGACGTCACTGGTAAGTGTCGGGTGTGAGAGCAAGTGAGCTATACAAGTCTGTCTACATTACAAGGAGGAGTCAGCCCATGACCCCTTTTAAATGGGCTTGTTGGAAGGGGTCCATATCGAATCAGAGATCCCGTCGCCTGTGGATGACAGAGGCATGGAGCCGCTGGGCGTGAAGGGGTCCGTGTCCGTGTCTGTCTCACCCTCGGCGAGGTACCGTTTCTCCCTCATCCAGCTCGGGCCCCCACCCGGGCCAAACACATCGTCTCTGTCTTGGGAGATGCTGAAGCCACTCGGAGACCGCTCCAGTTCCTCGTGGTTGACCGACATCAGGGACAGGGGTGTGTCACTGTCCCTCGTGATGCTGCGTCTCTGCCGTGGGGAGACCCAATCCGAGCCGGGCAGTTCCGCCTGGGACTGGTAGCTCACTCGGGAGTCGAGAAGAGTCAAGATAGGCAGGACGGTGGGCCTTTCCAGAAACACTGCTGTGGAGGCGGGAAGGGTCGCCTGGACCTTTCCAGAACTGGATCCGCCTTGGGGCGGCGTCACCGGGTCGTGGGCAAAGAACCCGTAGGGGCCGAATTTGTCAATGGACACCTGCTGGAAGCCGTAGGGGGCGCCAGAGGGGCCTGTCTCGGAATAGTTGCAAATGATGGTTTTCAAGTCCTCCTTCTTCTCCAGCCCGGCCGGCGAGGAGGCCCCCTTGGCCGGGTAGCACTCCGTGATGTGCAGCTGCATCCGTTCCATGTGCTGGATGTGCATGTCCACCAGGAAATCCAGTTTCTTCCCCATGTCGTGCACCTGGAAAACACAAGCAGGCAGGAGTCACCGCATTCTCCGGGGGTGGGGCGCTTGTCCCTTGTCAGGAGGAAATACTACGGCATTTGCTTTTCAGACGGGAAGAGGGTTCTTACATGTCCTCGTAGTAACAACGGCCTATTATTTTGTGCCTCCTAATTTCGAACCCTGAACATGTATTAGTGTGAATTTAGAAACCACCTAGGTAACCCGGGCCAAGGCTGGAAGCAGAGAGAGTCTGAGGAGGAACGTCATAGGGCTTCTTTTTTCCCCAAGGAGGAGGTGGCCTGCTGCTGGCTGTTTGGGTTAAGGCGCAGCAGTTCTAGATTTGCATACGTCCTCTGGAATTTCACAGGAGCCCGTGGCTGGTTGGTGTTCATTTTTCCTACGTGACGATATAAGCCCCAAAGATACAGGCTGCGGTCGGCAGAAACTGAGCTTCTCAGAACTGGACATCCTGCCAGGGGCCTTGGAGGCCAGTGGCAGCTACATTGAGATAGACTGCAGTGTACGCCCACCTGCCAAACTGGGAACTTGTTTAATATTTGTGAGCGCATACACACGAGTGTGCATGCATGTGTGATGTTCTCTTCTCAAGAAGCCACACTCACCAGGAAGCACTATGGGCAGGCGTGTCATCCCCTCTTGCAGATGACGACACGAAGCATAGAACTAGGTAATGGCCGAGCTCATACCCAAGCCTTACGGGTAACTACTGGTTACATAGCTGTCGGTATCTGACTCTCTTTTATGGACCTTAACGATGCTACCTCATTTCATTTTCCCAACGGCCCTATGAGGTGAATATTATGATTCTCTATTTTGCAGATGAGGAAACAGGGGCCCCAAGAGATAAAGTAGCTTGTCAAAAGTCACGGAACTAGAACATGGGAGAGCTGAGATATTTTGAAAAATATGAATTAAAATTAAAAAAATGAAAAATGATATTCTTGACATGCTCGAAGAGAGTAATCATTCAAATGTTCCCTCTCTTCTTCTGCACGGATCCGATTTTGGGTTATGAATAAAATAAAAGGATTGATGGGAACCCTCAAGGAAAATGACAGTGCCATTTATCCAGAATTCCGTTCGGCAAACGACGTTAGAACACACGCTTTCTTTACTGCGGAAATGAGAGGTGAGCGACGAGGGGCACCGTGACGGGATGGCCCCCAGGCCTTGTCACACGGGCACACGCTGACCTGGACTTGGAGGGAGGGAAGGCTAAGGGCACAGGGGAGGGGGGAAGGGAACCAGTATTTCTTAAGGCATGAAGCGCATGAGAACAGCAGGTGGCATTCGCTGACTGTTCACTGCGTGCCGGCTGCTCTTGCAGGCAATTCACGCATGTCGACTCCTGTGGTTTTCACGGCAACCTTACGAGGCACGACATCTCCATTTATAGATGAGAACACCGAGGCTCAGGACGATTCAGGACCTTGCATATGGTCACCAAGCCAGCGAGTGCTACATCAGGCATTGAATGTCCATATCCTTTTCCGAATGGCAGATACTCACGTTATGTTATCACCCTATGAGAAACCAAATGCCGTTTGAAAGTAAATTTTATATACTTGTTTATTGGCGAGGGAAAGGAAAGACCGACCTGTCTTTCGACTTTCACGAACTTCCCCATCATGCTTTGGTCTTCGGTTTCCGATGTGGATGCTCTGGCTACGAATGGTTCATTCCTAGAAAAGAACCAACAGTTCATTAAGAGCGTGTCACCTAATTTTGCTTCGCAAGGTCGCTTTGGCTCGACGGGCCACGGTCCCTGGAGCCATCACTCACACTCATGCTTGTGCAGTCTGGAAGAGGCCAATTCTGAAGCTACGTTTGGGTGAGAAAAGGCCAAAATTTCCCTGATACAAAATTTCCCTGATGGCGTGTCTCATACTGACCTTCAGGGCAGGAAAACGTGAAGCCAAATATTAAGCTGCTTTGGGAGGCTCTGTGTGGACCTCGATAAAGCCCCTAACTGTGCCTAGAGGGTTTGATTCCTTTAAATGACATCGCTTGGGCTTCAGTCTCAGACTCCTGGTTGAGAGCTTCTGCTCTGAGGGTGTGAGGTGGGGCGTGTGGAAGGGGTCGTCTGATCTCTGAAATTCTATGCAGTGGGTATCAACAGTTTGTCGTTCCATTTTGCTAATAGTGGAAAACAGATGCCGAATCCAGAAAACGCTGTGGAAGGTCCGCCAGCGAGACTGGGACCGACAAGTGTGCTGCGTTTGCCCTTTGGCTATGCATCGTCATGTCTGCCCGAACTCCAGTTAGTTCCAATATTGTTATGTTCTATGTAGAAGAACCTTCCAGGGGAGTCTAGCCAGTGCTCAGAACCACTAATGTCAGCCACTTTCTAGGTAGTTAATTTTCTCTCACGGGCCATCGGCTCCTGCTTAGCCCTGGTCCGTCTTTGGATGAGCAGCCTTGAATTAAAGCAATGTCAAAAACTGCTAAATCCAGCCCACTAGCTTCTTCCTTATCCCACACGAGGTTTAAAAACAATTAAGCCATCTCAAAAATGGGAATTTCACATAAAATCTGTATATTCAGCTTTTTAAAAAAAAAATTAGACTATCTGGAAACAGAGGATCTTCATTCCTAAAATTAGCAATAGCAGAACAGAGTGACAATTACCACCTTGGGTGGGGCACACGCCACCCAGGTCCCCAGGGTCCACCACGCCCTATCGTTATCTCCCAGGCTGACGCTGAAGATCAGACACCTATGTCATCTCGCTCAGGCTCTCGTTTTCTCTGTAATAAGGAGCCTCATTATTAGACGGTACATAATATCCTTATGCCTGACTCCCTTTGACTAGTTTGTGTTATCTGCCTTGACAACATTTGGGAATAAAGAAATGTAAATTCAGGTAGTGGACTTTCTTTGTTCATTGGGACCTTCAGAAGAAAAATGTTCAAAGTTTTTTTTTTTTTTTTTGAAGTGGGGAGCATTACGCTCTGCTGTTATAATGTTTGGGGGCCCCGACATCTGATTTCCTTCTCCAGGTTTGTCTGGAAGAGGAATCAATCAATTATGGTGACTATGTGAGAAAAGCCAAAACAGCCGGCCAGGAAGGCCTTGGGCTCCGCCGACACAAAGTATTCTTCGGTTCCAGTAAAACTCACAAAACTTCTCTGGTTTTGTAGAAAGGAAACCATTATTTCCATTTGCAATAAGCATAAAAAAATGTGTCAGCCAGACGGTCTGCGTAGAGGGGCGGTCAGTCTTTTGCACAGAAACCATTCAAATGGCCACAAACCAGAATAGGCTTCAGACTCTTTCCGTCTATTTTATTTGGGGGACTGGAAACCTCACCCGACCATAAAGGGTCCACAGTGAGACTTGGGGGCAGGGACACTCCACGGGCCGTGGCACCACACAGCCTGTCAGTCAATGTCCGCCAGCCCCACCTGGGAGATTGCTGAGATGGGTAGGTGAATGAGGCTGCCCCTTTCTGAGACTTCTTATGTTTTGGGGTGGATGGCGGTCCGGGGGTGAAAATCATATCTATTCTGGAAGAGAACACACAAAGAGGGAGATGAGATTACAAAGAGCTTTACACGTACACGGAGGGGAGCAGCTCGTTTTGCACCCCGTTCTTCAAGAGTGGGTTTGGAATGCATGAGAGACGGGAATAGAGCCAGACGGACAGGGAGGAAGTAAAAAAGAAACCGTATCATCCCCGTAAATTACATCCCATCTTTTTCCTTTGGTCTAGGGGTACCAAGGGGCATTTCTCAGGGGAGAAAGAGGCAGCCGAGCCACGGAGATGGGGTGAGGGTCGCGCCTCCGTACTTCTTGTAGGAAACGTCTCGTGTGCTGCCAACCTATCTGCTCTCCCAGCTCTTTTATTCCTCCCAGAAACATCTAGTTAGGCGGTTAAAGCCTCGAGTTAAAGCCTGCTAAGCCCTAGGCTGAGCTCTTAGCTGTGCCGATCTTTGCCGCTCTGCAGGCTTCTCTGGCCATCAGAGGCTTGGTTAGACCTGACGCTAGCTCCCACTCTGCTTCCTCCACTGCACAAGGCCTAGCTACCCCTCCCTGCGGCTCTGAGCACAACAGGGACAAATGCTGCCACCGAGCTGCAGGGCGGGGGCGGGGCATGGGAGCAGCCTCGAAGGCTTAGCGTGGCCTGGGACCACTCAGACCATGCTCCCAGAAGTAGCCACGGATCACCCGGTCTCCGCAAACCCGGCTGCTCCTCCCCTGACACCACCATGTACGTACGAGCCGGCCACTGCTTCCTCTCTGGCCTACTCTAACACCCCTGTAGTTGATGACATGCTATTAGCCATCCAGGCAGTCAGCCTGCAGCCGTGACTCGTGGAAACACACTTGCCAGGTACGTACAAAAACGATGATAGTTTAAAGGTTCGCTCTATGTTAAGATGGGCCGATATTTTGGAGTTGTGTGTGTCCCAGACATCACGTACCCTCGGTCTCTCAGAGCCACATTTGCATAAATAACAGCACGCTAGGCTCAGAACTCGTTCGCACATCCATTCGCTAAGCAGGCATCGGGCATCGGCTATGTGCCTGCCACTATGCAAAGCGGCCGCAGTTAATATTCCAGTTACTGATAAAGCAAGGTCACAAACAAGCATTCCTACAACCCAACAGCGTCGTGAACTTCCGGCTCGTTGAATGTGGTGGTCCTAGTAACTCTGCAGGACACCCCAGGGGGGAAATAGTATTCAGCTGAGGAGACAGAGGTCTAGCGAGGACCCGACTCATGTCCATTTGAAATTTCACACAGGTCAGAGAATGAGCTTCAAATGGGACTTTGGTTTTCTGATGTCAGTTCCATGACCCCTGACAGCATATTTTTCTTTATTTTTTAATGGTTTTTCTTTAAAAAATATTCCAATTCATTAAAAATTCAATACATTTAGGAAGTAAAAAAAAAAAAATCATACATGGACTCGTCATCTCGGTAGACCCACGATCATCTTTTGGGGGTAGTCTTACTCCTTTTCTCTAGGCCCCCCATATGGGAGAGTGTGTGTGTGTTGTGTGTAATTCCAAGGAAACGTACGTGCGTATGTTTTTGTGAACATATTGCACATATATATTAGTTAATATCATCACGAGATCTAGGCAGAGTATCCGTATATATAAATACGATCACATATACACGTGTACATGCATACGTCTGCATGTATTATTAATAATCTTTTTGCGTCACAGATTGTATAATTTTGTATCTCATGAGATACCTTTTCTAAATGCCATTTGATAGCTACGTAACGTTTTAATGAGCGCAGGTACCGTTCTCTTCCTGCTCGCTGTTGTATCACCCAGGAGGTGAGAGAGAACAGTTCTGTAAGCTGACTTGGTTTGACTGCCCACCCACTTACCCGCTGGGTAATTCCGGGGTGAGCCCTTTGCCCTTGAGCTTTGGTTTTCTCATTGGTAAAATGGCAGCTGTCACGTGCTATCTCACGGGGTTATAAGGGATTAGACACATATGGGTCGAGCTCCCAGGTGGTCGACAAAAATGGTGGCAATTATTAGTTGGGCATTGATGCCGTTTCCATATTTTTGCTATTACACATAACAATTGGTGAACATTTTTGTAATGTGGTGAAAAATTTATATTTAGAATTAGCCAGCTGGACCCAGCTTAGATGATTACAATTTCGCTGGCAACAGCCAAAGCATCATAGTCAGGGGCCAGTGGGACATATGCCTTCTCGCCATGAGGCCTGATCGGCGTGTTGACCTTGGCCGTGTCAATGTCACAGACCTTCCTCCCAGCCTGTTGGATCTGGAGCTGGTTGGCCTTGACATCTATAATGTCTGACGAACATATCTGTTCTTAAAAATCTCTCCTCTGCAGTGTGGATCGTTTCTGAACGCTTTTCGCCCTCGGCTGTAAGGTTCGCCTGGCTTCGATTCCTTAGTGATCAGAGGGGCAGCGTTCCCCCAGGTGCGACGGCCTTACCTCGTCTGCAGATGCTTTACCCTGGAGAGCATGTCCAGGTGCCCTGCAGAATACTGCTCAACCACATCCTTCACGTCGTAAGGCCTCAAAGTCTCCTTGAACTTTTTTTTATAGAGACGGAACTGTAGAATTCTGTTAGGTAGAGACATTTGCAGATTATAGTCTCATCTGATACAGACCAAAAAAAAAAAAAAAAAATCCTATAATCAATCACCTTGTTAAAAATGCTAACTAAAAAAGAACTAGATGGATGAAGATAGAGGAAAAGCTATTTTGGGTAAGAACCTATAAAGGAAGAAAAATCCAAGTCGATACATCCACTTTCCCAGTTTCTTTTCAGACAGGTGGTGGCCAAAGACACACAAAAAAGCATGACAGTTGCAAATATGTCAGAAGCCTGTGGGAGCATTTTTATAACAGGAGAGAGAGTCACCCATGATGACTTGCTAATGTAGGAAACGTTTTTCTTTAGGTAGCACTCCTGACACACTCTTTGGCCCTGACTCAGGGGCTCTTTGAGAGGCCACCCACCCACCTCCCCAAAGCCAAGAGCACTTAACAAACCCATGTCCTGTGGCATTGAGCTGGGGGGCCCGGGGAGGCCCACGGGTTGCGGGGAGGCCTTACCTGACAGCTCGGATGGCAGCCTTCAGGGTGGGGATCATGTCTTCGATGAGGAAGTCATTCCCGTAGCCCCTGTCTTCCGCCATGGGCTCCCCAGTCCCGGCATCTGGGAGGGAGACACACACATCAACGGCAGCCATAGCACGTGCAGAGGCTCAGGGACCTCGTTCAGTCACAGCCGTCCCAGCTCAACTTCCAGAAACTTCATTCCACTTCCGCAAGCCCCTAAGTGCTCCTCAGCTGTGAAGTCATTCAGCCTTTCTTAGCGCCCTCCTTCTGTTACCCAGATGTCTGCGTCAGAGGTGCCCGCGCTGCATGGCTGTTGGCTGGGGGAGGCAGCTACGAGGGAAGTGACGTGAGTTCCAGGTTCCAGAGTGGCCCCTTGGGGGCAGCCCATGCGGGCGTCAGTCAGACAGACCTGAGTTCAGATTCTTGCTCTGTCAGCCATTATCCTTGTGACATTGAGGAGGGGTCATTTGCTGAGCCCTGCTCATCCCCAGATCTCTGTGCACTTGACCCCTCGTCATCCTTCAAGTTGACCTCTATATAATGCACGCATCAGGGCCACCCTTAGGACCTATGGGGATGTGTCCTAAGGGTGTCACAACTGTGGTGATTACGGCCTGGGAGCCGTACCTTGGGAGTCCCTGCCCTCTTAGCCGTGGGGAGCTGTCACAGATGTCTGCAGAGCAGGGTACGTGATGAACAAGACAAACCAGAGGAGGAGGGCAGGGAACGGGCTGCTTTGCAGACTGGAAAGGTCTTCAGTGGGGGAGGGAGGAAGGGAGGGAAAAGCAGAAGGCTTGGGGGAGTGGAGTGGGGGGCTCAGGGCCGGGGAAGGAAGGCCTTACCTTCAGAGCTCTGCCAGAAAGCGTAGGCTTTCATGCGGAAGGCGGTGCGGAAGCGTTCTTTACTGTTTAAGCCAACAGGCTTTGGTTCTTTAGAGGGACTTTCTTCTATGGCATCTACATTCAGAGGGGTAAATAGCTTTCCTTTAGTATTGCTACCACGAGGATTAGAAAGGCGAACCCGATCCAAGAGACCCAGCTTTTGGCTACAAAATAAGCAAAAGTGAACAATTTTCCTTCTTGAGTGCAGGCTTTCATAACTCCCCGTCCCTCTCCATCAAGACTCACGCATTCTCCTCCACGCGTGAAGGGGACCAGCGCACCCTCAACGCTAAATCTGATGTAGCAGCTCAGGTTGGGCGGGGCCTGGTGCCCATCCTAGCTCGACAGTTTGCTAGCTAGGACACCTCGGGGACATTTCTTAACTTGTCTGGACTTCGGTTTCCTCCTATGCTCCAGCGGAGCGTTTACATGAGCCAGGCAGTTCATGCCTGGCTCGCAGTGGGCTGCAGCGAAGCTTCGTTCAGTAACTTCCTTTGTACCACTCCGTGGTGCCCAGAGAGCAACTTACACAGCAAAAGCCTGATCGAGAATTAAATGACAGAAATCACATAAAGCAGGTACCCTAACTTGGTCTCCACGGACACCCCCACCAATAGAATTTAGGGGGCGTCCATGAGCTCGGATGGGAAAAACATTGTTCTTTTAATTTCCTAACCTCTCACTGAAATGTAGCATGTCTTTCTATTATGGATGCAAGTGA